CTCGGCTCAAAATAGCAGCCGTTCCTCTTTTCGTTGCACACGGGGAAACAATAGAAATGCAAAGGTCTATCTGCGGCTCGATGCATAAAGGAGGTCGCTGATAGTTAGAGTGCACTTATCTATTGCCATAAGGATATTCACCCGGAAGCACCTATCTATATTTATCAACGGCCATCCTTCAATTATTCTACCGTGTCATAGATGCAATTGACATGTATGGAAGAATAAGACGGATGCCAATTCTCTCTTGTGTAATTACTTTTACACGAGAATTTGAAAATTTATGTCATTATTTAATGATTAACAAAATTAATTTTATTTAGAAAATAATTTTCTAAATATATAAGAAATAATGAAATAGAAATAGAATTTCTCTATCGTATTATATACGATAGAAAATGGTGAAATGTTGAATTTATTTATTCATTAATGAAACTAATGAGAAAATACGCGATGATGTCGTAATCGAAAGTTTGTTATTTATGATTTTTTTTATCTATGATTTGCTAAAAAATTAATTCAACATGAATTTCAGATATTTGTAATAATGTATTAGTATTAATTTATGCCTTCAATTATCAATCATTTTAATTTTAATATCAATTATATCATAGATCATTAACTTTTAATCAGAAGATTTACTTAAAAATATTAATTAATTATTATTATGAAACATAACATGATATATCAAGATTTATATCCATCGAAATTTTTAATTATTGTAAATAATATTATTACGTAATATTCACAGAACAGAAATATCATGTAAACATAGATAAAAAAATATATTTATTCTCACGATTCTTCATCTTCTTTTCTACATAATAAGGATAAGATTGTTCTAACAGATGATTCATCGAACAGCTCTTAGATCAATAAAAAAATTCTCACTTGATTGAATTTTTATAAATGCAATTTCTATAATTTTGATGAAATGTAACATTATAAACGATAAAAACTCGTAATTATAAACAGTAAAAACATCTCTATAAATAAATTATTACACGAAACAATTCAACGAAGGAATAGTCACGAAATGGCATTATGAGATAGCATGGCTCGAACGATCGTTGCCAGCGTTGCAAAATACTGCACTGCAAATGGTGCAGTCAACGCAGTCTCATCTGGCGAAAGGAAAAAAAAAAAAAAGAAAGTCGATTCGAATCCGAAGAAGAAAAATTGGTACTATTCTCAGTCATTCACCTAACGATACAAACCTGTGCGATTATGCAATTTCCCGAGGAGCTTTCTTTCTTTATAGCCTCGAATAACCGTCGCTATTTTCATCCTGTACTGTATCCGCGATACGTAACTCTGCGGTAAACGCGCGCCCTTTCGTGACTTAGATCCGGCCAGCTATAAAGTTTCTAAAGAGTGTCGAGGCGAACACGTAGGTGGATATCTATAGACCAACCGCGATATATATAGAAGAATAATCATTTCGGGGTTAATATCCTTGCGGTCGAACGTGTAATATCGTCATAAAGTATTAATGCGATATAAAAATCGATTCGTATGGAAGAAAAGTCGAAAGTTTCGAAAGGTGAAAGAAATTGATCGTTCGTAGACGTTTGGAGTGATAGAACTTTAATTTTAGGAATTTATCGATCGTCGATTTACATTTGATTTACTTCTCTTCTCGATTAGATGCTCGAATGAATGTAATTCTGTTTCTTTCAGATAGATGATCCGATCCATGTAATCTCCATCGAGGAACCATCTAGTCTATCCAGACAAAAACCACCAGATTACGAGGCGGTCACGGATGCGCCACCTAGCTACGATGACGCTATCAAGTTAAATCCTAGTCACCTATTTAGGAACAATAGTAGCACGTTATCGTTGCCAACTGTGCACACAATGGTCCCTAGAACAGTGGAGATCGTTTCTAGGGACCCTACACCATCACCGCCGCCGCCTTACGCGAGGTAAAATTTATTTTTACTCTTGAATGAAACGATCGATCGGTCTAACATGGTGTAGAGTACGTATAAAAAGAATGGATGAATAATTTCACTCATAAATCGTTCGTGAGAACTACTTAACTTGTCCGTCATGTTGTTGAAAGATAGGGGTGAAACAAAGAAAGGGAATTCTATACATATGGGAGGGACTATGACGCGATTTCTCTACTTGTTCCGAGTAGTGTTACTAGTTATTCTATAAAACTTAGTGACGTCATGACGAGTATACAGTGATAGTTATAGTAAATCTCTATCTAGCTTAACCTGTCTGGGGAATTTATAACTGGAATTAACTAATACTTCCTACTACTTAGAATCTTTTGCTCAAGTAATAGACAAGAATTGATAAGTTCAGATAAGTGGAGCATTATTAACGCTTCCATGTCTTTTTTAAACTCTTTTCTATTAGATCTTTTCCTGTTATTTTTCTTTTGAATCAAAAGGGAAGCGTTTCAGTAGTATACGAGGGCAGGAATGAAAATTAATTAATTGCAGAGATTATCAATATAATTATATAATAATTATCAATGTATAATAATTTAAACTTTCAAACTTCTCAATAAAATAATTAAATCATTGCATACGATTTTTCCTTTACTTGAATATTTTTCCATTCCAGGTGAGATATTTGGTAGCAGCAATAATGATCGCAACTAAACGAAAGACTTGCGGCGTGCTGGAGGTCCAGCGTATTGCAATACAAATTACAGATTGCCCGAGTACAAAAGAGGGTGCGAAGAACTCCGTCATTTGTGTGTCAACCGTCACGGTAGCATTGATGATAGGGGTTGCACTCGAAACAATCATTTACGACGGATAATTATATCTCGTCGTAGCACTGGGCCTTGTTTTAGTAGATTAAAGATTTGTGTTCAATGAATCAAGCAAGTCCTCCATACAGGGCACCGCATTTGTCACTGTATCAACGCAACGATACACGATCGAAGATAGAATCGAAGATGGAAGCATCAATTGAATTAATGATCACGATTTGATCGATGGACTCCAAATGGTGAAAGAGACGAAGATGGCGAATCGTCGAATGTTCCCAAGAAACTCGATGAACGAAAAGAACCGAAGAACTGAAGAAGAAGAGTCAATGGAGATGTGAACATTGTGCCTTCCGTAAAGCGCCTATTATTACAGAGAGAGCAAGAGAGAGAGAGAGAGAGAGAGACACAAGCCTAAATGTTTGCACGAAATACTCATGACTCGATAACTAATTGCAGAATTGTTGAAACTTCAAGCGAACTTGAATCCGTAACTTGGGCACGATTATTGATTTCGTCTGGCTAATTTAGAGAGTGTCTAAAATAGCAAATACGAATCTTCGATAATAACGTTTCTTGCGTCTATATTATCTGAACGTATTCCTTGTGAAGAATGGCGGCGTTCACCGTTGTCGAGTAATTTAAAAAGATCCTGAGAGATGAGAAAGGATAAAAGAATGAAAAATAGGTGTCCTTAAAAAAAAAAGAGCGTAGGAACTGGAAAAGTTCCAAATTTCATTGCTTAAACAATCGTGCGGCTTTTTAGCGGAGATTAACTGTTTGCTTGCCATATGATTTCGATGATTGTCATTTTACACGATGTACATACCACATGCGAAAAATCATTCGCACGTCCATTTTATTGTGATATATAAGATGATGCAGAATTATACGATATACGTCACTATGTCGAATATGACGTTGCTTTGTGAAATAAGACTCTTTTTTTATAATGAAAATACAAAATATAATGATAAACAAATTTTAAATTCGAGAGTTTCTTCTTTATAATCCATTTCCATCATGTAGATATATAAAAAATATTGATCGAAAAATTTTATCCATTTCATTCCAACAATACATATCGAAATTTATTCGGCGTATTAAAATTTACAATACGATTAAAATAATATCATGTTGAAGGATGAAAACGGACAAGTGGAAAATTTTGGAAAATTTCGTTGCAACATAAAATTAAGAAATATCCCGTGATTGTAATTTTTTCAAAATAAGGAAAAGAACTAACCCATCTTCTTTTTTTCTTTCAAAAAGGAATAATTTCAAGATTCATCGATAAATACCCTTTATTCAATCGGAGTAACATTTATACTTACTTAAAGCATGTCATTGAACTTATATATTCGTACAACTTTATCAACGGCAACAATAATAATCATAATAATGACGAGAGAACGTAACGACAATAGTGGTAATAATGGCAATAATAGCAATAATATCGTCAGAATGATAACTCGTTGGGAGGAGGAACGGGCGCCATGTTGACTGTGAAATATCTCCGTTCATCCCTTTGTGTGTATTTGATTCGTGGTTGAGCAAAAAAATAGATCTAATCACAGTGACGATGTTAATTATAATGATAATGACAATGACAAGAATAATGATAACGTCGAAGATTAATCGTAATCATCGGCCGACTATCGCTATACTTTTTTTTTTTTTTCCTTTAATTTATTATTACTCTCACTACACGGTGTTTGGTTAAAGTATGTCCCTTTTCTCACGATATCTTTCATCCCGTCTGTCCACGAAACAGACGAATAATTGATTCCACTGTATAATATCTCCTGTATTCGCCCACTTCCTATATATACACCGCCTCGTTCTACTGTAACAAAATTATTTCAGTCCGCAAAATATAATAAGCGTTGCACGCAAAATATCTTCGTCCCCTTTGATCGTCTCGCGTCTTTCTACATTTTCATTTGTTTTCTCTTCTTCTTTTTTTTTTTTTTTGTTAACTAATACTCGAGTTATTAACACACTGTGTTACTTGATAAATGTTAAAGATAATTTTTCTCGTATACGTATCAATGCCGGAGTAATGAACCAGAAACGCTACTGATTCGACGATGTGTATTGTCAGAAATATATGCTCTCCTTCGTCGAGCCCTCGATCGATTATTCAAGAGGCGGAAGATATTCTCGCGAAATACGCGCGGGAACTCATCGATATTTACACGCTCGATTCCTCGCGCGCAACTCGCGATTCATCAAAAAACTTACAATGTAGGGGGACGTAGATGCATCAACAAAAAAATGATAACAATTTGCACAGACACAACCTGCGTACCAGGCGTGTATCTGTTTATTATTAACAAACTTCATCAACGAAAGAAACAAACGTTTCTCAAGCTATTGCACAAAAAAATGAACGAGTATCCTTCGTCCTCATTCTTGATCGATCGACGATTCACGAGCACGAGGATCAAGAATCATCCCCGTGTTTCAGCTCGTCGATCCTCGATGCATCCTTCAACGCCCGATTCGATACTTAATCCGATAAATACACCGTGTTTACGATTGACATTTTTGACAATTAATCCTGTATCCACGACGATCACTGTGTACATTGTACCGTTGAATTGAATTTTGTGATTTTCCCGCGCAGGATTTCCTCTCTCATCGGCCATCTTTACGCACAATTAGCCAAGTGGATCGGTGATAATCACCACCGAATCATCATAATATAATATTCGTAATATTCTCTGTCGACTATGTACACACTATGGACAACGTGTTTCGCCGTTTCGTAGACTCGTTGATAATATAAATGCGCCGGTATATTCGTCGCTATAGTATCCTATATCAGACAGTAGTAAGAGTAGTGGTAGCAATAATAATAATTGGATTAGTCCTAGAAACGATCTTCGGTGGTTGTAACAGTGACAATAGTAATAATAATATCTAGCGGTAATAAGTACGCAATAGTAATTTATAATTAGCCATCGGTTCTTTTCTTTTTATTTTTTTTTTTTTTTTTTTTTTTTTTTTCTTTGCTTTTCTATTTTCTTTTATTTTTAATCTTTTAATGGCTTAACGGATTAGTAACAGGTATCTGGTAAGAGCGATACGAGTCGATATACATCTAAGCTAATCCTCATTCGTGTTCTCTTCTGTGTACGTCCTTATCTTCGTTTTTCTGTACATGTCTTAAGAATGATAACCACATTAACGTTTCTTTTTTTTTTTTTTTTTTTTTTTTTTTTTTTTTCATTTTTCATTAGATAGCAGAAGCAGCATCGTAGCGGTTCCACATTCTCGTATTTTTAAACGTTTAATGGCTTAACGGATTAGTAACAGTTATCTGGTAAGAGCGATACGATTCGATATACATCTAAGCTAATCATCATTCGTGTTCTCTTCTGTGTACTTCATTATCTTCGTTTTTCTTTACATGTCTTAAGAATGATAACCACATTAACGTTTCTTTTTTTTTTCGTCGAATAATATATATATATATATTTATATAAATGCATTCTCTTCCGTCTATTTACAATCACGATTACTACGAGTCTTTGTGATTCTCGCAGTTGATCTTACATCCTACGCTCTTACGCCCTACGTGTTCATTATATACAAAAGATATCGCTATGAGCAACGTCAGTCCGCACGGTTCTACGAGATCGCACTGAATGATCATCAGAGGATATCCCTTAGATACCATTTTTTAAAACATTTACTAACAGTCTATACAATAGTCATCGATGTGTCCAATATTCAATGCCGATTTATCGACAGTCGAAAGTACCGTTTTCCCTTGGTACACAAACATCACCCGATAATTATTAAAAAGTTCATGTGAATTTTTCTCTCTTGACACGGAGAGACACCCTGACACAATATCTATCCGACAGAAGGTCTCTTCCTCTGCTCATTTACCGACACACGATTTGTGTTCACGTTTATCGCACGAATTGTCCCCTCAGTGTTGGCACGCACGCAAACATCCGTGTCAAATATCATGGTAACCGTTCAGCACCGCCACAATGATAACGAAGTCACCGCATGAAACACGTCCCTGTCACGTTGTATCCGATCATGGAGCTTTAAGGATGGTCTCAGATGGGTGTCGGTAGGACCGTGAAATCCTGCAGCGCGGTCTTCACCGTCTCGTATATCGGCCTGTTCGCCTCGTCCGCGCAATAACCATCGGCGGTGCACAGTGTCTGCAGCTTCGTCAGGTAACTGTCGAAGTTCTCGTGGCTCATCTTCTCTTGCGGTCCGCCTGGGGCGTTCGGTATTCGCACGTGCTCCAACAAAGTTATCATATTTTCGCGCAGCGATTGATAGTAATCGGTCAGATTGTTGTTTCGCTGAACAGTCGCCGCCGTTTCCTGCGGAGAAACGAACCTTTTTTTAAAAACATTCAGCTGTATTAAATGTGCATTTTGACACAAGTTAGATAAAAAGAAAAAGAAAGAAGAAGAAGAAATGTACACATGCGAACTAATAATTGTGAAAAAGTATCGATTTACGTATTAATATATTTCGCACGAGTCATAAATTAATTTAATTAACGTAAAATGATGCAGGATCCACAATCTGGACTAAAATTGCTATGAATTTTAACTTTATATCATCCCATTTAATCCTAAAATGGATCAATATTCTAACATATGATGTTTAATCTCAAGAATTTCTCTAGAATCACTTCCTAAATGAAACTTTTAGGTCCAAATTGGACCATGTTCTGTATAATTGGCAACCGGAAATCTCTCTGCCATTTCTATCAGCGGATGGTACATAATCGATTACCGACTGAGTACAAGCGTACTGACCTTTTCACCTTGCTTCAGCTGGTTCTCCATGGCGGTGATATCGGAGCGCAAGCGCAGCACCTGCGATTCGACCCGAGCATTCTCTCTCTGGAGTTCCGTGATCTCGGCCTCCAGTGTGTAGAGATCCTCGCTCTGGCCACTGGCGGTACCGCTACCACTCGTGTTACCCTGACCCGTACCCACCGCACCCCCGTGAGCCGGACCACTGGTGTCCACTCCTGAAGATAGGACATAGACGGTCCATTTAAGCCTGTCTACATGTATTCTCCTTTTTTTTTTTTTTTTTTTTTTTCTTTCATTTCTCTCTTATTATATCTTTGCTTTTCTCGATTTCCAACAGCTTTCATCCTGTTCTCGAGACACAATTGATCTATCACACAATTTTTTTTATTCGATATCGATACATTGTAGTATTATACAAGAAGAAGTCTCGAGAAGACAGGTTTTGTTCGAAGAACGGAAAACCATCGGAAGACAAGAAGGCCAAATAAAAAAAAGTTCGATCAACCCAAGATCTTGGCCGAAGCTCGTCAACTTGAGCGCGAGTTTTTGTACAAAAGCTTTTTTGTTACAGAAGAAAAGATGTAACTAATTTACGTAATTCTTGACAGGTGTGCGGGATTCATATACAATAAAATGTGAGAATGTGGCGAGAGCGTATATGTAAGTAGCGCCAGGAAAGCTTCGGACAGCGATTTGGGTTGGCCTGTGGTTGAGTAAGATTGTTTCTTTTTTTTTTTTTATAATTTTCTTTTCTTTTTTCTTTTCTTTTTTTTTTTTTTTTT